GTGTACAGACATTAACAAATATTTATGATTTCATCAGTAATTCAGATGAATGCTCCTTGGGTTGAGCTGTGATTTCCTGATAGGGTTTTAATCATTAATTAGTGGAGTAATTTTCATCAGCCATGATAACAATGCAGTTTGCAGCCTTGCAGATGTGATTGCTTTATTTAACACCATTTATTTGTTATTCCATCCCCATCAAACACAATGAACATTCTCTTGTTATTTCTGACACATTAACAGACTAATCAAATGAGAAAATCACAAACTATGTTCATAATGACTGGGGAGCACCAGCTTCGACCTCAAACTTTGTTCCAAAACTTATTTTATATTTTCCACCCGCAGTAGTCTGTGTGTCATATACAGTAATCACTGTCTCCCTGCTGAGGTAAATAACAAGAGACTTATTCATAACTATGTTTTATTACTCTTGGAGGCAATATTTCTTAAACGATGTTCATTTTTCCAACTTTGGCAAATGCCGTTTCCAGAAACCTCAATAAAATTACAGAGACGTGCATCTCTGGAGTTAATCTTCTGAAGGTGGAAAATGTTACAGCAGTCCTGACTCTCCGCAGGAACAGTGCTTCGCCGCTTTAATCCTTTCCATCCTTGATGAAAGAGAGAAAAAAACATTACTTCTGACATCATGGCAGGAGTTGAACTTTGACCTGCATGTGAAGGCAGCACAGGGTGTGGCACAAAATATTTTCCTAATTTGTTGTAATGATGCAACTGCATGACAGATGCAAAAAATCAAAAATAGGTAGGAATATCTATTTGTGGCAGATGTGTGTGTGTGTGTGTGTGTGTGTGTGTGTGTGTGTGTGTGTGTGTGTGTGTGTGTGTGTGTGTGTGTGTGTGTGTGTGTGTGTGTGTGTGTGTGCTGGGCTGCATACTTTATTTCTTAGAACAGGAGCTGATAGTCAGATGTAAGTACTTTTTAAAGTTTCTGTGGTATGGCTGCTTTTACATTGTGTCAAAATTGTAGGGAAATAATATTTTATATATATATATATATATATATATATATATATATATATATATATATATATATATATATATAATCACAGCACTCTTGGTTTGGTGGGCCAATCTCACGTGCCAAAAGGTCTTGTGAGATCGTGTAATGTTGCAGGAGATCACTGTTTTCATGATTTAACCCAAATTACTCTAATGCTATTGTTTCTCAACAAAGGTTGTAGCCTGGCATGCCACCCTATATATGTGAATATATAGTCAGGCCACAACCCATAGAGAGATTTGTCATGGGACATAATCTACAGTTGCATTTCAAACTGTTTCTGCATGCTATTGGATCATTGAACAACGTGACATGCTCACCATTAGTCAACAGAGCAGTGCGCCATACACTGTCAAAGAAGACGCAGATACATCCTTTTTCTAAACAAAGGACTTAAGTACCTCTGTCTGCTTTTGACTCAAAGAAATGCTTAAGACTAAATAGTCCAAAGTTGGTACCAAAGTCATTTCAAACAAACTGTCACATCTTAGTTGGTTTGCTGAGTCGCAGTGATAGAGTGCTGTGATTTGGCCATCAAACTGATAGAGAGCTGTGATTGGGCCACTAAACAAATAAAGTGTTATGATTGGCCCACCAAACAGATATTGCGTTGTGATTGGCCCATTAAACCGATAGAGCATTGTGATTGGCTCACCAAACCAATAGAGCTTTCTGATTGGGTCACCAAATTCACAGAGAGCTGTGATTGGCCCATTCACCTGATGGAGCATTATGATTGGCCCACCAAACTCATAAAGCGTTGTGGTTGGCTCACCAAACCGATATGGCACTAACACATTTGCGTCGGTCAGGAGAGGATAGCGTCAGTTCTGTCTTGAACGGGCGGTGTAGTGTTCAAATATAAATACGATGGACTTATAATAATAATAATAATAGATTTTATTTGTAATGCACTTTACATTTCAATGAAATCTTAAAGTGCTCAAAGTGCTTCTCAGGAATGCGAAAATTTCGAGCCCGTGAGCAGCGTTTAAGATGCGTGGGTGTGTCTGTGGTGTCCTACATAATAAAATAAACAAAGGCAGTCATGAACTGTATTGGTTTTGGAGAATCTGGACAACATCATTTTATTATTTTGCTGTGCGTGTCCTCCTCATAAAACTGTTCTCTATTGCTGTGGGGCACGCACGCACGCGCACGCACGCGCACACGCACGCGCACACGCACGCGCACACGCACGCACACTGCATTCTCCTCCCACTGAGCAGCTGTCTGCCAGCTCACTGGGGCGAGCACTCCGATGCGCCGAGAACAGGGCCACACACACACACACACACACACACACACACACACACACACACACACACACACACACACACACACACACACACACACACACACACACACACACACACAGCTCTTCTCGTTCCCACTGGGTGAGAGCCCTGTGCTACAGACAGAGAAGTGAACTCAACAGCATCCAGCATGAAAATGAATCGCGCATGCGGGAACCCCCTGCTGGGTGATTCTACTCACCAATTGGAGTTGGTAGGCATAATTGTAGCCGGCCAATCAGTTTGTAGTGTCTACTCTGTCCCAGTCAGACCGCTGGGGATGAGGTCTGAAAAAAAGAGCCCCCTTGGAGCCCAAAACGCATATCTGACCCTTGTGTGAAACCTAATTCCAGTACCGTACCCGTCCGTACTGATGCTAATGTGTAAGCGCCAATAGAGTGCTGTGATTGACCTACCGAACCAATAGAACATTGTGATTGGCGAGACACAAGACTGTTCAGGCCTGTGGAGGAGTGTCCAGACCGACCCGCAAAGCAAAATCGTTTTGTTTGTGCTGCGGTCTGTCTAGATTTCTAGGCTATGAAAGATGGTCTTAGTTTAACACTCTGGCATGTTGTCAGATGGAAAATTAGATATCTGCTAAAATAAATTGGAAATGAATATCAGCCCTGACTTATAAAATCATCATCTGAAATTGGAAACCTGAATTGGCCGTCCTCATCATCACAGGGCGTAGGATGGCACTTCCTGTCAAGTCAGATGTGAGAAGTTTCAACTGAAAACCAGAGCAAGCTTAAATCCTCTCCCCCACTGAAAGATGACTGAATGCTCAGCTAACTCGAGTAAATAAAGACGGTGGAAGAAGGAAAACGTCTGAGATCCTTCTGGCAGTTTGAGGTAGCTGCTGATTTCCTGGCGCTGACACTGCACATAAAGTCCAAAAATATGGACTTCGAATTAATATTCTGCTCATCCCCATCGACTTTACAGCACATGATCAATCTGCTTTGTATTCCTCTGCAGCACCGGGGGAAGTCCTTTTTTTTCCTTCCATTTTCAGGATGGAAGCGGATTCTTAACGCACCTCTCCTCTGCAACTCGCCTCCGATTATTGGGAATGTTGAGAGGAGGTTCAATCAATCAATCAAAGCTTTATTTATAATGCGCCTTCCGCGACCCTGTCAGGAAGTCCAAGGCGCTGAACATGGTACATGAGAAATGTGAAACATTTTGAATAAATCAAAAATAAAAGCAATTCAAGGTTGTCCGCTTCAGTATCCATTTGGCCCGCTGCTGAGCGGCCTGCGTTATGTTGTCACTCCACGTAGGAACCGGAGCGCTCTCGAACCTAATAAGGGCCTGCCGTGAGTGGCAGCGTGGAGGAAAAATGGCTTGCCTGGGACGTTAATGTTTGTGGATCATCCCTCTGTGCTTTTATTGCAGCCTTGGCACTGAAATAGCATGAAAACGTCAGCAAGAAAAATGTACTCGCACAACTGCTGGAGAATATTTGTTTATTTTTTGGGCCTCGATTATTTAGCGATAAATTTCTCTGTGAAGTCTTTGGAAGGATTTATATTTCAGAGTGTCTAGCAGAGGTTTGGGATGCATTTCTGAGGAAGGGTTGATGCGTTTGAGGAGCAGTTATTATTGCAAATGAAGTGCAGCTGGGTGATGTGTTGCTCCTGCAGCTTCCCGGGTGTTTCATCTTTATTTATTCAAAAGTGGGAAAAAACTTTAAGACTCTTTTGTTTCTAAACCCGATTTGCTGCAAAATAAAGGCAATACTTATGGCTGATAAAAAAAAAAATAAAGGAATTGGCTACAGTTCGGTTAGGAGATTGTCTAAACAGTTGTTTTTAACAACTTGAATGTGACAACTTGAAAAGATAATAATGGTTTCTTTGATTCGTGAACAATTACATAACAAGCTGAGAAAACTGACTGATCAGAAGACACTGAAATGCATTGTGATGCCAGAAGGAACAAAGATTTCCTCAGGCGATACTGAGATCTAACTGACCTGCTGGTCCAGATTGTGACTGATTCCAAATTCTCAGAGAAGCTAAATAAATTCATGCTAGGTCTGGGCGAAACGGCCTAAATCAATACCAGGGTATACTGAGGAGTTCACATCGATAACAACAAATTAGGGATGCAACAATACCGCTTTTTTCCAAACCAATACGATACCAATACTTGGATCTAAGTACTCGCCGATACTGATTACCGATACTTCTACCACACAAAAAAAAAAGCTATGAATTGGAATACAGGTTTTATGTTCTTCTCTACTTTCAACAGGAAAAGACTGTGAGGTAGATGAAAAGTAAAATATATGAATAGAAATGATTTCAAAACTAAAATATTACATGAACAGAACCGACAAGTTACAGTGAAGCCACTTTCAAGCAACTGCATTGGTATCGGTTCCTGGTACCGGCTCCTGGTATTGGTTAACTTTTACAGATACCGTTACTGGTACCGGCACCGATACCAGTATCAGTATCGGTGCATCCCTACAATAAATGGACGATAACTACATGCATGCCCAATACAAGTTGTCTACTAGATTGGGCTGTCACGTGTGTTACGTTGAGTCACGTTGTCATGTGACTCGAGGTGGTACAGCTTCTTAAGGAGACACTAACATGCCAACCTGCACACATCTTTTTATTTTTTTATTGAATTTATTGACATGGTAAAATATTATCAGTTAGAGTCAAACGATAAATTTTCGATTTATCACCCAGCCCTAATTTATACCAAAAGAAATCTGATTTTTGAGTCTCGAATAACCTTAGTAGTTCTGTTTCTTTATCTCAACACTTTGAAGTTGTTAGCTATGCGTAGCATCAGAAAACTGAACCGTTGCCTTAAAGGGGCATTATGGAAGTTTGACAGCCAAAACATGTCTAGAAATAATAAATGTCTTCTTCATACATTCTCCTGCAATCCAAAGTGCTTTTTATGTGTGATCTGACAATTGATCAACCATTGCTTAAAAATGAAATACAGCTTAGCCGGTTAATTGCTGTGATCATAAAACACGTAAACGGCAGCACGCAGAACTCACGAGGCAACGTTTTACGTGATGTTTACTTGTTGCTATGAGTAATAAGACAGAAAAAGCCACGCCAAAATAAGTTTAGGAAGCCCACTAAGAATCGTAATAAAAGCATTTAAAATAAACACCATACACAGTTGAGGAAACGTTGGTTTAAGTACCTGATATGAAGTGGTCGCTGCATAAGCAAAAACCTTTACTCTCGGGATCCCACAGTTTCATTTTAGCCCGGTCACTAGCGCGTTTTATTACAATCATCCAAACGTTTGTGGCGTTCCGGATCTTGGGGAATCCTGTAGACGGCTCATTCCTTATGTCGTCTTCGTCTGTTCTGCATCCTGGGGCACAACAGGAATCTACCATATTTCCCGTTTGATTGAGTTTTCTGACAATAACAAATAGTCCAGCTGCGGGCTTCTGCCTGCCAATATGGCGCCGTTTCGATTTGAACTGTTGCATGCTGGGAGAAGTGACGTCAACTCCCGGAGCTCTATATGTGTTGCTATAAACTACATGGAAGAACGCTGACATGAAAGACCAAATAATGTCACCACCTAGCATTGCAGGCGGTGTGGTCCCTTTGGCACTGTGTTGAAAGTGTTGGGAAATTTATAAAATATTGATAGAAATCAGTTATCGGCCATGTTTATATCAGCTCAAGTTTTCATATCTCTACATCTCCAGTGATAATTCGTTGGTTGGTGAAAGGCCTTTCATTTGATGACGACATCATGGTTGGATGTTGGTACATAGTACTGTTACTTTTAAAGGTGTGTTTCACTGAAAAAACATTATTAATGATTATAATCAGTCACTTTGAGTTTTCATGCAGGCTGAACAAGAAAATAGTCTCCTACACCCATCTCCTGCATCAGCTTCTGAAAGAAAATAGACGGTAAAACTTTAGGATTAGAAAATCCTGACAGATCTACGTCACACTATCACAGAACATGCATGGACTCACCCATCTTGGCTCAGGACGGGAAAGGCTGTTGTTGGTTTAGCGTTCAGGAAACAGCAGAGAACGTCTCAGCTAGTAGAAGCTAACCACTAGCATTAGAAACTCCACAGCACAGCAGGACTCCTCTAGGCCTGTGTTATTTGTGGAGATAAAACATCAATATTGTCAGTGGTAGAGTTGAGTTGTTGTTATCTAATCAGACGTGAGATGTCCAAATATCAGGAAATGACTCCAAATTCTGTTGTCTGAAGCTACTTTTACCTCCAGCTGACTTATACACACACATACACACACAAGCACGCACGCACGCGCACACACACATACACACACCCACAACTTACAAGGCATTCGTTCCTACTAGAGACCACTGCAAATGTGCTCATTAAACAAGTGAACCACAGCTTTAATATAAATTGTCAATCAGACATTTGGTCTGAACATAGCACAGCTATTTAGATAGGACCCAGTCCAATTAAACATAGCTCTAAAGTCAGATACAACCAGAGCCATACAGGGTTTGAAAATCCATACCGGCCTTCAAAACCAGAATTAGTGAATCTCTACTTTAGATGGTTCAGTAGAAACTGTGTCTTATAGTAATAAGACAAATCCACAGTCAGGTCTAGGGAGACTATCAGACCATATGAGGAGCGTTTAGTACCATTAAAACCAGGACCATCTCTTGTAGTACAAGTTAGGCCTAGTCCACACGTAGCCGGGTTTTTTAATAAACGAATATCCGCCCCTCCAAAAACTTGCATCCACACCACCTCGTTTAAAAACAAAACTCTGTCCACACCTACCCGGATAAATACGTTGTTAAGGACATGCCAGACCTGTAGGCGGCAGTACTTCCCCCGTTCTTAACCTCGTCCTTCGCCTGTGGTCTTCCGCAAGGAGCAGTAATTCCGCTTGCAAAAACAAACAAGCAAAAAGCGCTTGGACAATTGATAAAGCGAGCGCAGCTCTGAGGGCATCCATGCTGTCGGCTAGTGTAAACACAGGTCGCACACGTGATGTCAGCATTTTTTTGTCGCGGAAAGTGACGTTGCGGACCTTAAAACTCCGGTTTTGTCTGTCCACACGCAGACACCCAAAACGGAGAAAACGCAGATCTTCACTTTGGCCGGAGTTTTTAAAAAACTCCGTTTTCGTGTGGATGGCAGGCCAAAACGTAGAAAAATATCTACGTTTTGGCAGATCCCCGGCTACGTGTGGACAGGGCCTTAGACTTCAGGGTTGAGCCGTGTCCTTAAGCTCTGTTTGCTTGTAACCTGATCAGTTTTTTAATTTCTAAACATTCTGTTCTCGGTCGTGACTTCATTTGCTTGTTCACATGGCATTGTTTGCGTGAGACACCACAATCCTGGAAACATATAAATAGAAGCATCTGTTTAAAGCACAGAGGACACAACACCATACAAATGATCGCTGTTGGACTCAGTGCTTTGGTCACAGCAAATTTGAGGACAAAGTATTGATTTTAATGCCACACGTGCATGGATAAGTCCACAGTAAGCAAAAAACTTCCCTTTTTCATTAGTGGTCACAAAGCCGTGTCCTCGAGCGTCACCATCCTGCAAGATTTTGAAGATTTTCTTCTCCAGCTCACCTGATTTGAGTTCATGAGTGATTAACGGGCTTCTGCAGAATTTGACGTGCAGAGGATGTAAATTAAGGTTCAAGGAAATATCTAAAACATACGTAGGTAGTGGCCTTTGAGGACTCGATTCAGTGACGAGCTCAACTGGGAATGGTGTGTGCTTCACACCAGGGCATTGACATTTAAAACTAGTGAGATTTTTGTTTAGATTTTTTATTTTATTTTATATTTTTAGCAAATTAACCACAGTTTTTTTTTTCAAGATTAGTTCATCTAATTCCTTCTGGCATTTCAAAAAGAACATTGGCTGCAGTGTTCTGTCAAACTCAGGCTCCAACACGAGTCCCAGAAGTCTGGGATCCGTCTCTGGTTTCCCTTGAATGATGCTGTGCAGAAGTACTGATGCAGTGTAATCACTGAGGCTAATTATGTTGTGCAGTAATGATCACGGTTCTCTCCTGTCAGATAAGAAATGCACTGGTGGGGAAAACGCAAACATATATTTTATTCCAGCATTTTAGCTGAGTGCTGTGAACCGTGCGTTTGTTGGGCAGCACGTGATCTGGCAGCTGACGCCATTCGGTGATTATCTTGATTTCTGAACTGTCACGCCAGCTTCCAGAATCCACCCTGACCCTGGCCAGCAGCCCCTTGGGGAAGCACATGTAGGTTTACTGTGAAGAGTCAGAGGAACGTGATATATACCCAGGCCAAACAACCTTCTGATGGTTCAGCTGACAGTGTGGAGGCTTAGCACGTAAGTGTTCTGTAGAACCTGTGGGTTCACATCCCCCTGAAATGCACCCCCCCATGGATGAAAAGCTTCTGTCCCGAGGCTCGATAGGAAAAGACATGAATCCTGTGACCAAATCTAACATGGAACACTCACACACCTGCCTGGACCCGTAGGGCTTTGAGAGGAGAAGTGAAGTTCATGAGTTCAGGAGATGAGTTCTGTCACACACACACACACACACACACACACACACACACACACACACACACACACACACACACACACACACACACACACACACACACACACACACACACACACACACACACACACACACACACAGAGAGAGAGAGAGATGGGTACCTTTGACATTTGAATCGATCCGGTACTAATTCCCGGTACCTACGAATCGTTAACGGTAACAGTTTTCAATACTTTTGAGTGTTTATTATTTTAATTCTCTTTTATAATTAAATATATATTTCTCAATATATAACAATATTTGATAAATATCACGATAAATAACATTCAACTGTTTGTATTTTAACATCGTCCTTGTAGTTTTATAAGCTGATAATTAAACTGAAGCGAACATCTTTACTGTGAACTAAATTTACTGTGTATCTTCATTCCTTTTGCCGTCTTTTTTCATTAGATTTTTCCTATTGGGAAGTTAGAATTTCCGAGGAGAAAGCGAACGCACCATTAGCTGATAACAATGGTAGCAATGGAAGCTAACATACCAAGCTAACGTTATTTAGCTGCTGGAGCAGATTAAAACGATAATGCCTCACACTTAGATTGTTGTCCCTGGTTTCATCTTCACCCAATCACCCGTCGCATTTAGTAAAGTGAAGCCAAACTTTAGAGCGCGTTCATGTTCTTCTAGTCGGGAATTCGGAGTTTCACGGAGAAAGCGAACGCACCATTAGCGAAACGGAAGCTAACAAATCAAGCTAATTATATTTACCTATCGGAGCAGATTAAGATGAGGATGTCTCACTTAGATCGTTGTCGCTGGTTTCATCATCACCCAGTTACCCATCACATTTAGTGAAGTGGACCCAAGCTTTAGCGTGCGTTCTTTCTACCATGCTGCTCCGTTTACAACTGGCTCGCAGCGAGCGACGACATAACGCTCTTGCGCATGCGCAGCTGTCTAGACAAGTTCTCGTTAAGGACGGGTACCGAAACGAGGCACCGTTTGAAATGACGTGAATCGGTGCTCGATCGGTACCATGGAATTCGGTCGGTACCTTAAAAAGTACCGAATTCGGTACCCATACACATCACCCCCTTTAAAGAAGTTTTGAGATATAAATGTATGAATAATGCATTTCTCCACTGCTAACACAAACAAACGAGCATGAGTGATAGTGATGTATGTGAAGCTGCTGGCTCGGTACTTTTTGAACATTATCATCAGATTTTTAAAACACTAATGAAAATAAAGCGTCTGTGATTAATCTTTTCACAATAAACATGATACAGATGGTTTGTGTCCACCATCCTTAATCAGCTGTTTTCCTAATAACTGAAAATAATGATGAGATGGGATGGTGGAATGGTCGCGTTTCCTGTGAGCTGTGTGAGTGAGCGAGTGGACACCCCACCCCCACCCAGCGTTCCCACCCAGTTCTCCCTGGTTCCTGAAGGAAATTAGGCACATGACTCCGCTCTCGTATGAGTCATCATCTTCTCTACGTCCATCTTTTTTCCTTTTTAAAATTTTCCAACGCTGCTCGTTCTTCGTTGCGTTGCCAGCTTTAATTCAGGCTCGTGCACATATGAGTTCCAGATGTTTCTGGATGCGTCTTCAAGCAACAGCCCTCGCCACGCTGCAGCACACAAGTCCATAAATCATTGTGTCTCTTAGTTTTTGTTGCAGGGGCTTGTTTTGCTCCTTCGTACCTGCGGCACGTTGCGTCTAGAGTTCGCCCTCGTTGCAAAAGAAGCTTTATACTTTATTCATGTTATTCAAGCCTCTAAGAGGTGATTCATTATTTAGAGCTTCTACCTCCCTACGCCAGTTCACTAAGTACATTTTTGGCTCTGGGATAGACTCACACAAGCTGTATTTTTCAATCACGACGGCGCTTCCTGCTCCCTCCTCTTCCTCGCCTGCGCCTCATACATTTGGATATGTTGTGCTCAGTTTTAGTGAAATGGCCTCATGGGGTCCAGAGTGAGATGGCTACAGTATTAATCAGGCGAGCTCACGCTGCAAAGCGCGCAGAGCAAAGTGGTCCCCCCCCCCCGGGGGACATTGGTTCCACATGAAAGGAAGACCAGAGGGAGGAGCCCAGTTGTTTTCTAATCTACTGATATGAAGTCACAGAACAGGCAAATCTGTTTTCCTCTTATCAAAGTGTGTCGTAATTGCTGCAGAAAGTGGAATTTTTATTGGAATACATTAGCATAAACAAAGCTAAGGTGTGGATAAAGTTCAGACGGCTTCATGAGCAGAGGACAGGGTTCCTGTCAGTGGGTTGATTTCTCGGCATTGTGTTTTGGCTGCAATCGCTCAGCAGATGTTTGATGTCTTTGCTTAGAACATTAAAAGCGGGAATGTAGCAGAGATTTCATCAGGGCTCGTGATTGCGTTTCACGCCAATGGGCTTCGCGCGCGCTCCCTGACACTCCTGACCTAATTCTGATTTAAGAGCGGCGGTGACACTCGTTCTTTATCTTCCTGTCTTTCATCCGCCGCTCGCATGAGCTCACCCACCCCCTGTTATCACGCCGTTACGAGCAGACAAAAGATCCGCTGGGCGGAAAACTCGAGAGGAGGCTGAGTGTGTGTGTGTGTGTGTTTGTGTGTGTGTGTGTGTCACCGGTGGAGTTAATTTGATTAGGAGTCAAAAACACCACCGAACTAAAAGTCCGATGGAGAAAGGAGGAGATGAAAACTGCTTCGTGTGGAAACTAAAACTGATTTGTCTGTTTTTTTATAATAATTACAGAAATCTGCTCTCTCTCTTTCAGAACAACGACCCCTTGACCCTCGGTTACCATGGATACGCATCTCACAGCCAGGTAAGGGCAGTTACACACCTGCAAGAATATCCGTTGTGTAATCTGCCACATTCCAGCACGCTGCAGCGTTAAAAGGGCTCAGCGTGGCTCCCTGAAACACGCAGTGGGGGAGTGGATTTTAATTTAATGGTTGTGTAGAAGAAGACGTGCCTCCACAACTATCACTCTTCTATTCCTATCCTCCACCTACTTTCCTTCCTCGATGATAGTAATCATCTCTGAGCATGCAGGACACGTTTATTTCATCTCGAAACTTTTAGACACGGAGACATTCGGCGCTTTTCTGCCCACAAACCAACACAAACGGTCATAATGGAAAATTAGCTGCATCACATGTTGTTGTTTTTTCTGTGTGTGTGAATATGTTTGTGTGTAAGTAAACAATCTGTTTCCCTGCATTTGTATTAGCTGGCTGATTGTGTTATTAGACTGCTCGGTTTACGTGGTTAATCCTTAGATCATCCTGCGTTCATCCACTCATCCTCTCACGCTCTGCTCGTAATCCTATCATCCCTCTCTCCCCGCGATGCGCTGCAACCTCTGGCTGCTTATCTGCACTCAATCTGTCTTCGGTCTGCACTCAAATGCTTTCATTCCCCACAATAAGAGAGGGTTGTTTTCTTAATGTTGCTAAGTGGATGCCCAGAAGTCAATTAGACAGACGTGATGTCGTAAGATGAGGGACTTTTGTGGGGAGGAATCTCTGACTGGACAAGAAAAGGAGTCAGTCGGGGACTTCTGCAGGGGCTTGGAGGTGTGAACTGACCTGGGAAAAAAGGAAAAAGACAAGGAGGAAAACAATGCCGTCTGGGCAGCAGAGACTTCAACAACACCGAGGTGCTAAACTGTCAACAGCAGTGTGAGAATGATGCGATCAAAGGCTCCTGGAAGGACGAGACTGGAGAGCAGCAGCAGCTCTGTGGGGAGCGAGCTCAGCTCTAGCCGATTCAGAAAAAAGCTGACAGATTCATCCGTCAGCTCTCAATGTACAGTTGTTGCTCAGGAGGGCTGGGGGTTGCTGGTGCGATACCCCTCCATAGTCTTTGGCTCTATGAAATCATCACAGTTACATTTGTTTGCCGTTACATGGGATGTCCTACACGACTCAGTGATAGATTAAGCTTACTGAGCATGTTTTGTACGTAAAAATTAAGTGTGGCCCCACATGAAAATGTCCATATTGTCCCGCAGATTTGTGTCTCTTGCTTATAAGCAGCTGCAGTGAGAAAGTGGCTCCAAGGTCCTTCAGACTTCAGGTCTGCAGTTGTTAAAAGTTATTAGGGGAATCATTTTTCAACAGTGTTTTAAACCTTTGACCTGCAGGTCAGCCACTAGGAAACGTACATTGCAGCATGTACTGAACCTAAGAGAAAAACAGATAAATTAATAAACTATATGTAATTCTTATAAATGTTTCATTGTATTATAACCATCATGGCTCTAAATTTTTTATTTTATTATATTATATTAAATTATATCATATCATATTATATTATATTATATCATATCATATTATATTATATTATATTATATTATATTATATTATATTATATTATATTATATCATATCATATTATATTATATCATATCATATCATATTATATTATATTATATCATATTATATTATATTATATTATATTATATTATAAATTAAATAATTACATTATATTTAATTTTTAAATATAAATATTGTTATTTTTCTTGGTAAAAGCATCAATTAACCAGAAAAAATATATATCTTTAGAGAATTTTAGTAACATAATTTTTTTCATTCTGTAGTTTCAATTTTAATGTAATGAAAATTTGAGTGTAGGGATTAAATGAATGTTTGAGTCTTTCTCTCAGGTTTGCAGGAAAACAGTTTTTTGTGTGTGCTCATCTTTTATGCACTGGGTTATGTGCACATTATTATTAAATAAAATTTATGAATTATGGACAATATTTCTAGAACAATTTCCTCGCTAAAAATACCATATCTGCCACGTGGACTCAGACAATCAAAAACTTTTAGTGGTCGGGAATGCGCTGCGGACTTTGATTGGTAATAATTAAAAAAAAGGAAATTATCTTTGCAATCTTTCGCCTTCATTTCATTTTAACTAGAACATTGTTTTGAAAGAACCATACAAATGGTCAGTTTTATCATTAAGAAAGAGAAAAGTAATAGTATAAAAAATACATAATATAAATATTTTAAAATAAGAAAATGTGACAATCCCGTTTGTTTCAATTCAGTTAATCTCTTCCAATTATTATAATTGTAGTAAACTTTATTTTCTCTGCACAGTTTGGTCTAGAGTCTCCATTAGCTGTGTTTTCTGGGAGCGAGGCAGCGTATTGTAAAGCTTCTCTACTTGATGCTCACAAAATGCTTACCAGCAGGATTAGAGAGACTCTGTATTACAATACAAACAAAAGTGGCAAGGAGCCAACAATGCGGCTGGTCAGCCGGCTGGTCAGCAAACGAACGTGTTCAGAAATAAACCAGGAAAAATGGAGCAAAACCCAACAATGTGTAAGTGGAGCAGTCTAAAGACTCTAGTCGGCTCAACAAGCAAATGTTGATGCATGTTGTGTTCTTAGGAGACACTTCCTAAAAAGTCATGTTGCACTTGGAGGGAAAAAAGTTTAAAAGTCTTCATTTGCTAACAATAATGTCTCATCCTCAAAGAAGCAGCCCTGTTAATTTTGCACTCCGGCTGTGGAGCGAAACGTCTGCTCACCTTCATGCAATCATAATGTTTTAAAAGCACCAAGCAAGTCATTCCAACCAAATGTTTCATAACTATGAATATTTGAACTTGCTGCAGTAAAGTAAGAATTATATGAATAGCTTATAAATGCTCCCATTCATTTAAACTGTCATACTGCAGCCAGCCACTAGGGGGTGCTTGTGTTCCATCCCTCTGTGCTGCTAAAATAAACCTCTAACTCAAAATCATTGCACATAAATAAGCTCCACCTGCTGGCCCAAACTGAAACATACAACAGATTTTTGACAGTGGATTGATTCATTAACAACTTTTGCAGTAAGTTTCATCTAAAATAAAGAAATGAAAGGTGCTGAAATAAATCTGTAGGGTTAAAAGAAAAATAACTATGTGATATTTCTGTTTTTTCTTAAGGCTGATATAATACACTGTTTTATAAACCTGATATGTGAGCACATTTTTTATTTGATGGCATAATATGAGCACGTTTTGTCCGAACTCTTACTGATGCCTAAGGATGTATTTCAAAGCCCCAGATAAACACAACAAAACAGTATATATCTGCATTATTTGGTGAACTAGATTAACAATCTGTATTTAATCCTAAATAAGTCTTTTCCTGAACCTTTTCGTTTCATATTAGTTCCTAAACCAGGTCACAGTGAGTTAAACTGTACTATAAACTAGACAGCACTAATTAAAACTAAACTCTCCAATACCTGAGATGGAGACTTGAGTTTGACATTTGCCAAAATAAAGATTCAACGACCTTAAACACTTGGGACTCGACTTGGACGTGGATAAAGATTTGAACCTGAAAGACTTAAGACATGGCTAAGACTTCAACCGCAAAGATTAAAGACTTAACTAAGACTCAAATTAAAGACTAGAGACTTGACTAAGATTTAAACTTCAAAACACTGAAGACATGACAAAGACTTAAACCTCAATGACTAGAGACATGTCTAAGATTTAAACCACAAAGACTAGAGACATAACTAAGGCTTAGTTTGGAAGACTAGAGACTAGAACCTCAAAGACTAGAAACATGACTAAGACTTAAACCACAAGACTAGAGACTAGAACCATAAAGACTAGAAACATGACTAAGACTTAAACCACAAGACTAGAGACTAGAACCATAAAGACTAGAAACATGACTAAGACTTAAACCACAAGACTAGAGACTAGAACCATAAAGACTAGAAACATAAACAAAGACTAGATACTTGACTAAGATGTAAGCCTCAAAGACCAGAGACTTGAACCTTAAACACCAGACATGAATAAAACTTAAACCTCAAAGACTAGAGACATGACTAAGACTTAAACCACAAAGATTAGAGACATAACTAAGGCTTAGTTTGGAAGACTAGAGACTAGAACCTCAAAGACTAGAAACATGACTAAGACTTAAACCACAAGACTAGAGACTAGAACCATAAAGACTAGAAACATGACTAAGACTTAAACCTCAATGACTAGAGACATGTCTAAGATTTAAACCACAAAGACTAGAGACATAACTAAGGCTTAGTTTGGAAGACTAGAGACTAGAACCTCAAAGACTAGAAACAAGACCAAGACTTAAACCACAAGACTAGAGACTAGAACCATAAAGACTAGAAACATGACTAAGACTTAAACCACAAGACTAGAGACTAGAACCATAAAGACTAGAAACAAGACCAAGACTTAAACCTCAAACACCAAAGGCTTGACTAAGATTTAAACAAAGACTAGATACTTGACTAAGATGTAAGCCTCAAAGACTAGAGACTTGACTAAGACTTAAACTTTAAAGACCAGGGATTTGAACCTTGAAGACTAGAGACGTGACTAAGATTTAAACATCAATGACTAGTTATGACAAATACTTAAACCTCAAAGGCTTTGTCACTCCAACTATTGTGGTGTAAAAGCACCGTAAAGGTGAGAATAGAACCTTTCATCTTGACAGTGTGCAGGTTGACAGTTCGTTTGTCTGCATAGTTGAACCCTACAGAAGCAGCAGCGAGCAGAAGCAATCCATAAAGTTGTCACCACAGCCTGGTAAGAAGGAGCTGATTTCACATCTCTAGAAAACAAGATGGAAGTTTGTGTGATTTCTTAATAGAAATTTGACAGTGTGTGCCTTTATTATCCCTGACTGATTAGTTATCCAGATGCTATTAGTAACAACTGTTCCTTGGGTCTGTTTTCTTTGTCGTTTGTATCTATAGTGCTTCCATTTTAGATAAATGAGACAGGTGCGTTAATGTAAACAATCCGGGCGGTGACAAAAATCTAGGCTGCAGGAGGGTTGGTGACCCTAGCGGTCAGGCACCATGACATCAATGCATACTCACATGCAGAAAGTAAAAACAAGTCTCTACCCTAGGGTTGTTTATGTGAGGAGTTGTTGTTTGTCAGATAGTACGCAGTTGCCTCTGATTTGTCACATGCACATTTCTAATTGTTGTTCTTTGGCAATGCTGGAAAACTGAACCGAATCTCCCCTAAAAATTCAACCTTCCTATCAAGGCTAGGTTTAGACCCATTCCCACTATTGGAACTTAAGCCTGATTTATACGTCTCAGTGAGCTCTGCAACGGAGACGTCCACGGAGTGTCGGAAAGGTTTTTACATGCAAACGTCAGCACAGGCAGCGGAGAGTTCTCCGCCTGGCCAACAGAGGGTGCAGCACTTTTATGTGGTATCCTGCTACCATAACACTCATGTATCCGGTCCTCGATGGTGTATTTGCTAATGTGTTTATATATTTCAGAGACTTTACAACATGGACAAATTTGTCCTTCATTCTCCTCCACCTCTTCATGCCGTCGCCACCTCTAACCCCACGTTTCTTGTCATTTCCGGCCATGTTAGCTCTGTATCTTGTGCTCCTGCAGTCACGGGTAAACAGATGTTCATATTTTCTGACTTTTTCCACGATGCGTTCTTCAATCTGTTCTGGGTCTGCCGCTAAATATTGGCATTTTCGACGGATGTCTAAAATTTTGGGCATGTCTCCAACACCCTCTGTGTCGGAGAGCCCTTGCGCCGAGTCATACTGGTGTTGCTTGTCTCCACACTGATGCAGGTGAAGAAGTATAGATTAGGCTTCATGGGTATTTTTACCAGACCTCAGGGTTATACGCATATCTCCATTTCACCAGAACATCCTGAAAGGACCACTTTTCAGGATAACTGGGGTATGAATTCACAAGAGTCACTGGATAGAACTTGTGGTTATTTCTTACTGACCGGTTGTAAACTATTGGCAAACGTCATTAAACGTCTACGATTTGTAAAATTGGAAGAGTTGCTGGAGAAGCAGAATGAAAGAAGAAGAAAATATGCAGCATTCAGGCTGCTTTAAACCTAACGCAGAAAAACGCGGCGTGATTCACAGCGCTTTTGTGGTCTCCTTTTTTTACGGCGCTCCTTCTGGTCATTAACTCATTCACTGCCATTGACGACTAAAGTAGTCATCTTAAATCCAACCGTTCACTGCCAGTTAGCATTTTTTTTTACTGCGTGGGCGTCGGAATGAGCCCCCGCACCGTGGGAACAAACATCTCAGCTTTAAAGCCGATCTTCAACCGCATACGTCACACGTCACGTGATCAGGAAGCAGAAAATCCATGTGTTAGGAGATCGTTTTGGGCCGCTGCTGTAAAAAAAAGTGAGGCGCGAACCGGAAAAGCGTCTGCCGATCACAATTCAACAACGGATTATGAAAGAACGGATAACGCTGGAAACACTCGGATTCTTCCTGATGTAAGAGGTGCGTCTCCGCTTTGTTTTGGTTGTTTTGGCGTCGACATCAACGTAGCGCGCAACGTTCTGTGACTCTTAAAAAAACTGTAAAAACGATGAGAAACGCTGGCAGCGAAGGGCTTTACCGATCAGGAAACGGCTGGCAGCGAATGAATTAAATGCCATTTTTTACATCACACACAGCTGCTCTCTTGTCCTACAATGGATTCAGTTACAGCATACTTTAGCTCTGTTGGCCATCAGGAGATGTGTATTCACAAACGAGAGGCATTGTTTCCATCTGTAAAAGCAGAAGTGGGGAGAACATTGTAAGGTGCAGTACAGGGACGGCGTTAGGCCCGGCTACTTGGGCTCAAGCCCCGAATGTTTTATGAAAAGCCCCGGATCTAAATCGTGGAAGTAACATGCAGTACCAAAGTCCAACAGAGAGGGAGCAGCTGGCAGTAGTTTGTATGCAGCCTGCCTGAGCCTCCACCACTGAAGAAGCCCTTCAGCAGCCAGCTTCTTCTACACTCTCTGCCTGAAACGCATGAGTGAAGATGGACATAAGGACGTTTTTTAGTCCAAAAGTACGACGACAGAACCCCAGCTTTGATGAGACTGGTGTTGACTCAGGTTTGTGAGTCTTATTTGAAAATATTTGTTGTGCTGCTGGTTTGCCTAAAGTTAGCTTATCAGGTAAAGTTGTTGGAGAAAGAAAGGGAATATTTACTATCATCTCACACTAAACACTAACAGGAACAATACTCTGCCCTGAAAATGCTTAATATGTAGCTTCAGATTAAAAATTATGTGGTACAAGACATATATGTATGATGTTGACTAGTGACTAGTGCGTGTCACGTGTGTGTGTGTGCGTGTGTGTGTGTGTGTGTGTGCGTACGTGTTAAGCCCCGGATCTTCTTCAGTCCTAAATCCGCCCCTGGTGCAGTATAGCTCTCAGCCTCTAGATGGTGCTATCAGAGAAAATAACTCTGGATTTCTGCTTCAATGTCCGTGGGCGCCTTCTGGCGCTGACATCAGTGACGTCACTCGCACTGAAATGGTTGTGACTTAGCAACAACTGAGAGGACCGAGCGTTTACCCTGTCACCTTTCCCCCTTTTCCCGGATATACTTTTATTTTGGAAACGCTACGTTTGCTTTGGTCTCGGTTCCTCTAGTAGCTCATTCTGGAAAGGGTTCCTGAAATGGAAACTTTTGACTTCTTGGGAACAAGAAGCAGTTGATATTGAGAGTAATGAGAAGAAATCTAAAAATAAGCACTAGCAATAAAAATATTAATACCAGTAAATAAACATTGCACTGTAACCCAAATAGTTGTCTTTATCCACGTCATCGGTTGCTCTGTTCTCTGTTTGACCCAGTTACCTTCACTTATTTATTTATGGTAAATTAGAATAATAACAGTCAGAGAAATGGTGATCAGCTACCAAGCTCACATCATTACGTAATAGTTCCAGCAGGTCTAGTAGCTTTTTAGCCCTTTTGATGTCAAGAAAACATCGAATAGCCCAGTTTTAATATTCTAACTTCACTCTAGCGGCATTTGTGCATTCGCATTGTTCTAAAGTGCAGTCACCGGCACATTTGCGTAACAAGGTGCATGTCTGAGAGAGATTAGAGGGAGAAAGATGGAAAGTCTTCTCTTTCTCTCTCTCCCAGTGGTGCCAGCAGCCCCAGTTAACTCACCTACATGGAGAAAGAGAACAGAAGAAGAGCGAGAAAGAGGAGGGGAGGACTGCGACATGAGAAGGATACCGAGGGGAGGGGAAAGTTTGCAGGTGTGACAGAGGCAGAGAAGTAAGAAGAGGGGGAGAGGCATCGGGCTTTCTGGGTGAGAGAGGAGGAGGGGGAGGACTGGTGAAGAGACAGAAAGAGATGAGCAGGCAAGGGCGCAGCAGCGAAAACGACGGCTGGGGGTAGAAGGAAAGCAAGGAGCGAGTGGGAGACGGAAAGAAAAGAGTGAGTGGGAGACAGAGAGAAAGATAAAGAAAGGGGGAAGAAGAAGAAGACACGCGAGTGAGGAAGAGTGACAGAGACAGAGGCCAGCAGAGGAGGAGGAGGTAGGAGGCGGCGGTGGGGTGGGGATTGGCAGGGCAGGCGGAGTGAGCGGGGGCAGAGAGAGGGAGATTTTGAATCTGTGAGACAGACAAGAGAGACGGAGCTGGTGAGGTGACAGAGCCTCGGAGAGGGAGAGAAGGCGAGGCAGTGCGAGAAGAGGAAAGGAGCGAGGAGCGGCGACTGTTGGGAGTTGTTGCACACAATACGATGATGGGACTGTACTATCCTAACGTGTTGTCGGTGAGTGTTTGTCTTCTTATCTTTCCGTGTGTCGGAGCCGAGGCGTGGGCTCCTCTGCTACGTGAAGCGGGATTGGAACGGCCGGTGCTGTCACCGACTGGTAAATGTCAATTAACCGCTAACCGATGAGGAAACGCTCGACCCGTTTGTCACCGCGACCCGTGCAGGACCCCCTGTCCGGGTCCTGCTGCGACTACTCTAGGAGTTGCGGAGGCAGCTATGAGGAGTGAAACGCCACAGTTGACGACAGCAACATAGAGGCTGGAGATTGTATCGCCGCAATTATGATCCGCACGAGCGGCGATGTATTATTGTTCGCCGTTGTTGTGGCATCTGTTCCCCTGCCCAGAGCTAAAAGCGTGCACGCAGTCTGAACAGCAAGAGCTGCCTCAGCCAGAAACTGTGCTCGGCCATGTATTATGTATGCTCAGAAGAATCTGTGCGCGCGCTGTTACAGCTGGATGTAGCGGTTTATTACACGTCTTCTGGCATCAACTCTGTCCAAGCAAAAGAGTGAAAACGGAGAGGCTCTTTTTGAGAATGGGGAGGGGGAAGGAGATGTGAGAGAAAAGTCTTTCTTCGGCGTGGACCCTGCAGCTGTCCCTGTACATCGCCCGAGCCCGTGAGCGAAGGGGACAGGTGTCCGCAGAACAGTTGCCCCTGCCTTTGTTTAATTACTCACCCTGACTTTCCAAGGCTTCCTTCTGGATCTCTTCTATTCGGCTCTGAACACCTCCTCCCTAATTTCTGTCACACGTTTCACAAACACACAGAAGCTCGAGCGCACAGTGGGCTGCAAACTTGGTGCATGAAGTGTCATGTTCATATTACATTTCAGCTGGTGTGAGTCAGGATGAGAGTGGCTTTGTGTGTGTGTGTGTGTTTGCTGCCGTGTGTGTGTGTGTGTGTGTCGTTTTCAGCTGTACCTTGGAATCCCGCTCTCCTCACTGATCTCTTTTCTCCCTTCTCCCGCTCTCCCTGGGGCCCTGGCAGCTGTTATCTCAATGTTTTCCTTTAAGAGCCCCTGGATGAGAGGGGGATGGGCTGGAAAAGAGAGAGAGAGAGAGAGAACGGGAGCACGGGAACAGAAAACAGATTTTTAAGGTGATGGGACACCCTCGGACAGTGGCCAAGCAGCGCCTCGGGTGAGGACGGGCGACGTGGTGGTAGACACGGGGAGCACGTGACAGTGCTGCAGGTCAACTGGAGAGAGGCGGTTTGCTCGGTGACGCTGTTACACGCTGTAGAGCTGACTTTGCAGTTACGCGTGTGTAAGCGCGCGAAGGTGCTGCATGATGGGGGTGATTTATTAGCCCTGCCATGGTGCTACTTGTGCTAATAGCGTTGGCCCTTTCTGCAGGAGCTGGAGCAGCAAATCGGGTGCAAGAGACAGAAATATTTTCTCAAGCCCCACCTAAGTGTGTGCCCCGAGGCGAGGGAGAGTCGCCTACCTGCTTCAGAAGCTGAGCACACACACCGCCACGCTTGCATAAACTGAACAGGTCATGAGGTTTCAACACCCCACCCCCTCCCGCCACCTTCCAAATCTTGTTATTGATTCTTCGCTGCGTTTACAATGATGGTTGTTAAATGATCCCAATAAGCTGCGTTGCCGTGGAAACTTGCATGAGTCACTCGTTTTGTGCTGATTGTCGGCTGGTTCGAGGCACGAGGAGAAATGTAGATGAGGAGAGCTGCGAGAGGTTCAACACCTTTTGGATTGTGGGAAGACAAGAGTGCGACTGCTTCATTCCTGAGCCGCCGGGACAGTTTTGCCTCTTTAGCAGCTGTCTCTTAAATGCTCTGCGAGAGGGCTCGCTGCGAGGCTTCCTAATGGAACTGCCTCGGAAACAGGTAGGGGGTTGCCCTCGTCGACTCTTCAGAGGGTACAGTTGACAGTGACAACGCCGTCCTCCAGCTGGCTTGCGTGCATTTTTAAAAGGCAAGCCGGACAACAGGACGCGTGTTGTGTTCACACAAAGCCCTGCCTAAACAAGCCAGACTGGTTTCATGGTCGTATCTGAATTTTCTCTGCAGGTAAACACACATCTGTCCCTGAGTTTGTGTGCTCACCTGCGCACGTGTTTACCTGGTGTCATCCTCTTTTCTTGTTCTGGAGTGTTTATTTTTCATAAGAGCCACCGGCGTGTTAAACATGAAGATGACAGGAAAACTCGAGGGTTGTGTGAAGAATCGGATTCTCCCACTAAATCCATGGGAGGGAGGGGAGACCCTACAAGGCCGAGGATAGAGGGGGGGTGGGAGGCGTTTGTTTGACAAGCAGACTTGTTACCCTATAAGGAGATGGAGAAGAGCGAAGTGGGCGGAGCTTGGACACTACTGATATCCTGTTGCTATGAGGCAAATGAGAGTGATTGACATGTGTGGGGGCGGGACGTATGCGAGGGTCCCGTCTGGATTTTATGAAGCGTAAAGAAGTGAAACGCACAGCAGAGAGTGGGAGGAGAGGGAGAACAGTGGCAAGAGGAGAGGGGGGAGCGAGCGAGTGGGGGAGGGGTGGGGGAAGATGGATGAGGAGGGGTAGACGTGGGATGGAATAATTTAACGAGAGGGTGTCTCCTGGCTCATCGCTATGCATCAGACACGTGAACGTTTCTCCAGCTGTTTGCAGCATGGTGAGCGACACTCGGATGCTGAGATGTAATCCGAACGCTGAACACCCCCCACCCCCCCACCCCTGCCCGAGTTAATCCGATTTTTTCACCGAAATTTGAGCAGCTGTTAAAAAAACGTGAACCGCACTTTCCGTGGTTCAGTTTGTTCAACTGGCCCTACAGAGTTAATGCTAGCGGCCAGAGGAAGCAGGATCCTCAAATGTCATTATTCATGTGATATGACCCGGTGCTGGCCTAGTTGTTAATCTTGTTTTTCTTTTCTCCTCTCCTTTCCTTTCCTCTGCTCTTGTCTCCCAGTGTAGCGTGTTGAGATCGTTGCAGACGAGCACGCTTTATAACGTGCCTCCTCAAACGCACTCAGTGCTGCTAAGTGACCCGAAAAGAAGCCAGCTACAGCTACCGCTCTGAGTCACAGGCTTCGCCAGGCCAACACACACACTTACACAACCCTTAATGTCTTAACACCAGGGGGGTGCACACAAAAACACACACACAGAGAGAGAGAAGAGGAGTGTACTCTTAAACAGAACTCTAACAGACCTGAGTGCTGATACAAATGCACTGCAGAGTTTGCTGTCTTCCAGTTGACCAAGACGACCCGTCTTTTGTGTCTTTGTGCCCCTCCTCATCCTCCTATCTGAGTGCATTTGTTCAGTAGATGCTTTTATCGCGACAGGAATCTCAAAACGGCTCTTGCTGTCAGCAAAAGGCTCGTAGCTTGACGGAACGAGAGAGCAGATTGGGGGTAAAAAAGCAGCACGCAAGCACATAATGTTTGTGCAGATACCCGGCTATTGACACAGTGTATCAGGTAGAGAGGAGAACTGCTGAGATGCAGCCAAAATGGATCTCCTCTGAAAAGGCCAATCGCGAAACACAAATACAAGGTTGCTTTTGGCGAGTATTCCCGCTTCTATTTTTGTCTGGCAGAAGGAGCGGCAGCAGCCGGGGTAGTCCATTCTCCTGCTGGCTGTGGTCTGCTCGAGCATGAGCATCACCGCTAAGCAGACTATACAGAGTGACTGACAAGAGGTACGATCAGATCGGCTCTTCAAAACCGTGGAAGTCGCACTCCACATCAAAATACCAGGTTCAAAGACTTCAAAGCTCTAGAGTGCAGCATTAAAAGCTGAGTTACTATCACTCTGTCCAGTCGTATCATAACTCATCAAGTACAAGACTGATTCATCAGCAGTTGAGAGAGATGGGTCATGAGTCATCGATGTTGAGACTCCAAGATGACAACATGGGAGCTGTGATGAACATTTTACCGCGCAGCAGGGGAGTATTTCCCCAACAAACAGGTCAAAAAGTGAAGATCCATCATGCTCTCTGATTTCTAGTATCAAATCTTCATTTCAGCAGGCAGGTACCATGATTATTACCCTTTTCAAGGGTAGTTGCACAATGCAGGGACATTCATTGTGCATTAAGCAGTGCATGTAGCATGCAATATGTTTACTATAGGATTGGGACTGAAACGATTCCTCGAGTACCTCGAATAATTCGAGTACAAAAAATCCTCGAGTCAAATTCTCTGCCTCGAGGCTTCGTTTAATTCATGTTTAATTAATTCATGGCTTTGCAATCGCCCGGGATCATGTTTCACCCGGACCGAAGTAAGTGACGCACATAAATACTGCACTGAATGCACACGCGAGTAGCGAATGTGACTTAACTTTCTCTTAAGCCATGGCGGACAACGTGGATCCCGGTGGAGTGCGAAAAAGACACAAAATGTCAAAGATGTGGGACCATTATTCACGTCGTAAGGCGGAAAATGTAGTCCAGTTTAAATACTGTAAAATGGATTTAGCCTACCACAGCACCACATCCTCCATGCTGCAACCTGACCAGGAAACATCCACATGAAAATGTCTCTTCTGCGAGCGGACTCGGAGCCTCTACAAGATAATGCATTTTAGCCTGTATTTCTATATATTCTGCGGACACTGTGCGACTTTTTCGTTTGTTGCACTCAGTTTCAGCTCACACTGTCGTCTGGTAGCAACACGTCGGTCCTAAAATGTGCTAAAAATAGCAGTTTTTACAACACGTCAGACTTTTTACTGTGTTGTTATTGATGTCCGTTGTCCCTCAGGATTGCTGCAGGAGGACGCAGGTATTTATGAGAGTGGCGGAGGAAAACGAAAGAGTAAATAAATGTTGTGTGACCAGTATAATTTGACATAACCACGGCAAACATGCTTTCTCGACAATCCTTGTTAGTGTGAGAAAAAAGTGTAGAAATTAAAACGGACGTGTGTTAATAGGGAAATAGCTGGCGAGCCATGTTTGCGCATGCGCCGTGAGCGGTTCTGGTGCTGTTTGGGCCGCAGCCGCTCGCATTTGTTTACTGTAAAGTTGCAGTGCTGAAGTTTTGAAAACTAATTTTGAATAAAACTTTAATAACTGGCAATTGCGTGCTCATTTTAAGAGGTCTTTCATATATTATAACATGCTATTTGATATATAATGGTTTACAAAGGCAAAAGGGTAATTTATTAGAGTACTCGATTAATCGATAAAATATTCAATAGAGTACTCGATTACAAAAATATGCGATAGCTGCAGCCCTATATAGGATATCCAGTTTTTTTTTCATGGCACAGTTTGAAACAAAGTTGTTCAGCCATTACTGTGTTTAAATAGCCGAGTGAATTCTTGCTTTGCAAAGTTTGGTCTAGGAACGCTCCATTGGAACCTCCGCGGGCCCTAGCAGCATTCTGGCAGGCCAATCACAGCGCTCTATTAGGGTTTCAAACCGATAGAGCTCTGTGTTTGGTCCACAGTGGTGATCCAATCAAGGCGCTCAACAGGTTTGGTGGGCGGGATGATGCGATGGAGTGAAAAAAGATGGTGGCTGCTCGTTTGAAACAACTTTCACATCAATTTTGGACAATTTGGACTTTGTCTTTATTAGAATCAAGAGTAGATGGATGCACTTAAGTCCTTTATTTTGAAGAAGGATGTATGTTCATCTTCTTCAACAGCGGACTGCCTCGTTGACCAACATCCTTTGCGGTGAGTATGTCACGTTGTTTGTTGTCCAGTAGCGTGCAGAGATCGTTTGAAAGACAACAGTGGAACCCGTCCCTTGACCGAGAGCTGTCAATGGAGCGTTTGTTTAAAGCCAATTTAGTCAAATTTTCTAAATAAAATAATGAAAAATATTGCTAATTTGCTGGATTGGTTCACATTTTCACTAACACTGCCTCTAATGTAATCTGTGATGGTCACCTTGAACTGATTTGACATAATTATTACAGTTATAGATGTCCATGTGATGAAGCAGTGGTGAGAATTACAATAACCTTAACTTGTATGCCAGATATTCTCCCAACATAATTTGACCCCTTAATCTGGATAAATTCAACAGGGTATCCGCGGGTCCTTAAAAAGTCTTAAAAAGTCTTAAATTTGCTTTTCCAAATTTAAGGCCTTGAAAATCCTTAAAAATTACAAATAATCCTTAAATACAGTTTCCAAAGGTCTTAAATTACCAAAGACCCAATAAACAAGATTATTTTATTTCTTTAAAAAATTTCGTGAATTTCTAGTTGGTGTTCGGCATTTTTTGTGTACGATGTTAGCGTAAGCGGAACCGTACGCAGTCAGTTGGTTGTGAAAGGGGGCTATTTTTAGATGAGCGCATTAGCTGGTTAAGCTAGTGGGAGCTTGCGCCATGGGGAAGTGCAAGTTTAATGGTAACTGGATGGCTAATCCCACGTTCACGACGTGGTTAGCACCGGCCCCAGGCAATAGCTGGAAATTATAGCTTAAATTTAATTTAAAAAATAGCTTAAATTTGGTCAAAGTGGCCTTAAAAAAGGTCTTAAAAAGTCTTAAATTTG